GTTGGATGTGTTGGGCCGGGCGTTCAGACCAAACCAGTGACATATGGCTGAGGAGACCAGTAATGCAGTCATAATGAGCGCCCGGGTATTGAGTTCTCGTATGAAACCAGAATTGACAACATAGACACACAGGGACAACACCAACATAAGTGTTGTAGACATCCTGGTTAACTGCCGTAGATTATGACTGGTGATTATGAGTGAGTGTGAGAGGGAGGGAGGGAGAGGGAGGGTGTGAGAGAGAGAGCATACATACATGGATTGGTGGAGTAGATGACAATACATGCAATCCATACGCAAACCATACAAACGGTTACAATGAATGAGATGTTAATCAGTGTTTTGTTGTCCCCATGAATGGCCACAATAGCAAAGAATGCAGTGATTAATGAGCCGATACTGACCAGTAGTGTCAACCACTCGTAGTCCACAATATTCTCGATTATCCAACAGATAGACGTGTGAAGAGCGATACCACCGATGGCTCCGTTTAGTGCCAACAAAGACATACGAAATGTCGCCGAAGCAGACATTTGGCACTCAATTCTTGTTCAGAGATATTACAGTATAAATGAATGGTATTTCTGGTGAAGAATATTCTGGTCTTAATGTAACTGTAATTCAAATATCGAAATATTTATTCATTAAACTGTTTGACAAAAGTTAGAAAAGTTTGAAAAGTTATAATCAATAATAACGTATTGAACGCCAAATCTATGACTGCTTTTGTGACAAACTTTTCAGTCGATTGCATGCATTCAACGCAAACAGTGTTCAACATTACGGGCCGTACATCACACACACCGGCGACCAGTGAACAGCTAACCGGTGACCACAACACTGTAAGTATGCGACCATTCATCGCCATTATCTCAATGTTTACCACACTTTCCGCAGTCATATCGTTTGGGAATACGAGTGACCAAATCGATGGCATCCGAGGAGGTAGTGTTGGACCACGTGTTGCACGTGAGAGGCTTTCCCGAGGGTCTGGCCGAGGAGGCGCTCCTGAAGGCGATTCCCTTCCGTGATGTCGGCGCCGTTGCCGTTGTCGACGTGAGGAGGGCCGCCCTCCCTGTGCTCGCATTCAGTACGGCGACGTCTATGGCGCCCAACGCACTATACATAGATATAATGGACACCCGTTCAGGGGATCAACACTTCGGGTGACGAAAGCCAGGCGTAGAGTCGCTCCGAATACCGGTGCCGCAGATAATAGCGGACCGCAAGTGTGCGCCGTTAGTCCGTTGCCGTCCACTCCAACCCATCGCCAGTCCGCTGATCACGTGATCCGTGCACTTGATGTGAGTGGCGACGAGTCGTACGCACCACAAGACATGTCACCGCAAGTGATGCACAGCTTCGGGAACCATTGAACGTTGAGTTGCCACCAATGCCTTCAGCGCGTGAATCGTACGGAACGCCTAAACACGTGATGGCATCGACAGTGACACCGATGGTTGAGTACGTGAGCCGCGCGACCATTGATGATGTGATGGACGAGGATCTGAAGGAATCCAAAGGGTATGCCATTCGTGGCGCAAAACAGTCAGAAAGATGTCGGCTCGCGAGCCGTGCGTTACGTTTGGACTCAAACGAGGGATCACTTGCGGTGATAGTGGCCACAGAAGCAGCCAATACAACGACCTCTCGCTGGCGATCACCGAACCGAACGGCGCTCTCAGGTTGAGCCGAAGTGTGCAAAAGTTGGCGCCATTTATACGTCTGATGAGAGCCGTCGAGTGTATCCACTTCTGCGACTGCCTCGTGAGTCCAATGGCTTTCAAATGGATTGTCACCACCTGTGAGAATCTTCGGTGTTTGCGGTTCGACAACATCCAGGGTCTCGTCAAAACCGAATGGACTAAGTTTGTCAAACCATTGTCAGGTAGTTATCAGATATCACTCCATTTGATCCATTGATCTCCATTTGTATTGAACTCTATTTGACAGCAAAACTCATACACTTCTCATACGCGGGAAACACACTAAACGATTGGAGAAGTTTGGCGGCAATGGTGTTATCGTTCGCATTACTGGAATCGCTGGCAATCTCTGATTGTGTCCAGGATTTAGTGCCAGTATTTCGAGGAATGAGCCAAACGGTGGACAGTCTGACAATCAGTCGATGCGATCGACTCAATGCTCGGGCAGTCCGGGCACTCAAGCGCTCAAATGGACCGCAAATCAGATTTCTGGCCATCGATTTCACAAACGTTACTAAATGTCTGTCCGTTATTCAAGCCTTTTATGACATATTAGGCGATAGTTTGCTGTATTTTAAGGCCACGAATATAGCCGGCGAAGACTTCTCTCAATTCACTCATAACTTAACCCAAAAGTCAATGACAAATGTCTTCGCGACGACAATCCATTGCTGAAAAGGTTTGCCAATAATTTGCGAGTCATTGAGATGAGAGGTCCGTTGTCTCCCAGTCTGTTGAGTCGATTGTCCGATAAATTGCCCGTTTGTCGGCAACTGCGGCTAAACCGCTGCGATGTGTACTGCGATTGCGGACAGGGATTGAATGAACTGCTAGACGGCCGCAGCTACTCATGTGTTGCCTGTTATAAGAGGGTCCAGAAGTCACTCTTTGACTCTTATCTCAAATATATTTCTCTGAATGGCGACGAATACGAGCGATGAGACAATGTATATGTTTTGATTAATATATGACCGGTATTTAGATTATGTTTGCTTTACAGTAATGACAGTATTTTGTTAATTCACACAAAATGAATATAGAATTAATTGTAATGAACAAATTTTGTAACCTTATATTGATAATTGAATGTTTTAAACAGATATTTACTTGTTTATACAGTAATTCATTTCTTGTTTGCTATCATTACATAAAAATTCATAAATTGTCAACTATTTTCCTAATAAAAGCATTTACTTTTCATTTAAATCCCAATTAATTTGTATTAATAATAGGCTATTGTTATAAATTGCAATGAAAATATTTTAATTAAAAAATTTAGAGTCGTACGGTTAGAAAAATTGTATTTTTAAACTCAAAACTCATGCATATTAGTTGTGATGTCTTTGTTTGCGATCACACTATCAATGAATTGGTTCCACTTTGGGCTCCAAAAGTATCCATCGCTCACTTCAATGTTAATTGAGTGATGTATTGAATCAGATATATGACTACTTATGGATACTATGGATACTATGCATACTATGGATACTTCTGGAGCCCAAAGTGGAACCAATTGATTGATAGTGTGATTGAAAACAAAGACATCACGACAAACCACCACGAGTTTTCTACTAAATAAATACTATTTTATACTTTATTTTAAATAAAATTTACTTGTTATTTAATTTATTTGATAATTCTCAGAATTATTAAATGGCACAGGTGTATAATATGACTAAATTTCACATAACAAGTAATTTATTTATTTCAAATACATTGTAACTAGTAAATTAATGTATTATTTTTGTGAAAAAAATATTTTTTACTTAAGTTATAAAGATTTTCCAAAAAAGAATATAATTATAAATTGCAATAAAAATGTTTTAATTATTAAATACAGTAACTATTCAATTGGGTTGAGATGTCTGTCCACCGATTGTATTGAGTTTCATATCCGACAAACTGTCCGATTCCTGTCCATCGACGTCATCGTCGTATAAATTCTTGATTCTTGAGGACAAGAATATGACGATTATAT